GGGTCCCAAATAGTCGGACTCAACTGAGCGACTAACACCTGCCAGGTGAGAGACAGGTAAGAGATGATGATACAGAAACTGATAGTCATGCCTTAGAGCCTTAGCCCCTCCCCTTGATTTGCCTTAAGCAGAGACTCAACTCAAGAATAATGGACAAGTTGGCAAGCAGGAATGAGCTCACCTTCTTCTTTAATACTTGGTTATACTTCTTTGAAGGCAAAAGGAGAAGGGGGCGGCAGAGGATGAGATGATTGGATAGCATCACTGACTCAACGGACGTGAATTTGAGCAAACTCTGGGAGACAGTGGAGGACAGGCGCCTGGTGTGCAGGAGTCCATGGGGTCGCAAAGAATGGGGCACAGCTTAGCAACTGAACGACATAAGCTTGTTCAGCTACATATGTTTCTCCATCCCTAATACAAGAATAATCAACACTCATCGTGCTTACAACAGAGTAAATTACCTCTGGATTGTGGATAATACTATGCTATTAGTCCATGAGGCATCAAGCTCAATGCCACCTGAGTCTTCAAGTGCTTTAAAAAAAAAAGTAATTATACTGCAGGCACGTTCCACCATTTATTCATTGTATTGCCGATGAATATTTAAGCCCTTTCCAGGCTCCCAGCATTTTGCTCACATCTCCTGATACATATGGGCCAGAGTTTCTCCAGCTGTTGTTCAGTCGCTCACTGATGTCTGACTCTTTGCGACCCCATGGGCTGCAGCACGCCAATCTTCCCTGTTCTTCACTGTCTCCCGGAGTTTGCTCAAACTCATGTCCATTGAGTCGGTGATGCCATCCAACCATCTCATCCTCTGTCGTCTCCTTCTCCTTTTGCCTTCAGTCTTTCCCAGCATCAGGAGCCCCTGGTGACTCAGATGGTAAAGAGTCTGCCTGCAGTGTGGGAGACCCAGGTTCAATCCCTGTGTTGGGAAGATCCTCTGGAGAAGGAATTGGCAGCCCACTACAGTATTCTTGTCTGGAGAATCCATGGATGCTATGGCTATCTTGCCATGGATGGAGGAGCCTAGCAGGGGTCCATGGGGTCGCAGAGTCAGACACAACTGAGCAACTTCACTTTCACTTTCCCAGCATCAGGGTCTTTTCCAATGAGCTGACTCTTCGTATCAGGTGGCCAAAGTATTGGAGCTTCAACTTCAACATCAATCCTTCCAATGAATAGTCAGGGTTGATTTCCTTTAGGATTGACTGGTTTGATCTCTTTACAGTGCAAGGGACTCTCAAGAGTCTTCTCCAGCACCACAGTTCAAAAGCATCCATTCTTCAGCGTTCAGCCTTCTTTATGGTCCAACTCTCACATCTGTACATGACTACTGGAAAAACCATAGCTTTGACTATATGGACTTTTGTCGGCAAAGTGATTTTGAGATACCTGCAAATTCAAAGTGATGCACAAAATCTGTATTCTTCTGGTTCATAGAAGTCACAAGTACTAGTGACACAAAGTTTTAGTTGGTAATAGAAGGAAATGGCAAGTTTCAATTACAGTTAGTGAAAACACAGCCATTGTTTTTTTCCCCATTCGAGTACATGGACCCCCCCTGAGTTCTAATTACATACCTAGGTTAATAACTCTTGCACTAGGAATTGCTAAACCATATCCCAAGCAGTTCTGGTAATTTATTCTCCATGAGCAGTGAGCAAGAATGACTGTTGCTTCATATCATGAGACCATTAGTTATTATCAGACTCTTAAGTTATTGCCAGTTTGGTGCATGTGAAATAGTTATCTCCTGGAGGCTTTACTTTGCATTTTCCTGGTTACTCAGGAAGCATTTTTCTTAGGGTTTCTTCTATGTAATGACTCTCTTGTGCTCATTTTCCTATTGAGTTTTTGTCTTTTTATTTGTAGGGTTTTTTTTTATACATTCTGGATATTAACCATTATTATTTACATGAGAAGAAAGGGGGAGAAGTGAGTGAACTGGTTTTGATTTTAATTTAAATAAAGAAGAAAAACAAAAGCAAAAACCCTATTAATTTATGTTTTGCAGATATCATCTGAATTGTGGCTTGCCTTTCCACACTTCTTAAAAAAAATGATGTATATAGTTGATTTACAATGATCTGTTAGTTTCAAGGTACAGCAAAATGATTCATTTACATATATATATATACTAGATTCTTTTCCTATATATCTATATTCAAAATATATATATTAGATTCTTTTCCATTATAGGTTATTATGAGATATTAAATATAGTTCACAGTAGGTCCTTATTATTTATTTTATATATGGTAGTTTGTATCTATTAATCTCAAACCCCTAATTTATCTCTTCCCCCAGTTTTCCCCTTTGGTAACCATAAGATTGTTTTCTATATGTGTGAGTCTATTTCTGCTTTGTAAATAAGCACAGTTGTATCATTTTTTTTAGATTCTATATATAAGTTCAGTTCAGTCGCTCATTTCTGTCTGACTCCTTTTGCAGCCCCATGGACTGCAGCATGCCAGGCTTCCCTGGCCTTCACCATCTCCCAGAGTTTGCTCAAACTCATATTCTTTGAGTCAGTGATGCTATCTAATCATTTCATCTTCTGTCACCCCCTTCTCCTCCTGCCCTTAGTCTTTCTCAGCATCAGGGTGCTTTCCAATAAGTCAGCTATTCCCATCAAGTGGCCAAAGTATTGGAGCTTCAGCTTCAGCATCAGTCCTTCCAGTGAATATTCAGGACTGATTTCCTTTAAGATTGATTGGTTTGTCATATGTTTGTCTTTCTCTGACTTACTTCACTTAGTATGATCAGTTCTAGGTCCATCCATGTTGCTGCAAATGGAATTATTTCATTATATTTTTATAACTAAGTAGCCTTATCATTCTTTATGGCATCTGTGATAAAACAGCATTTCTTAGTTTTAATATTGTAGAATTTGTCTTTAGAGTTCATTCTAAATTCTTCCCTATCTCAAGATTGTAATTATATCCAGTTGTATTGTTCACTAAATTATTTCGTTTTGCATTCCACTTGTAAGCCTTTAAGCCATTTGGAAGCAACTTTGTGTATGTGTGAAGAGGGTTTCCCAGGTCGCTCAGTGGTAAAGAATCCTCCTGCCAATGCAGGAGACACAGGTTCGATCCTTGGGCTCAGAAGATACCCTAAAGAAGGAAATGGCAATCCACTCCAATAGTCTTGCCTGGGAAATCCCATGGACAGAGGAGCCTGATGGGCTACAGTCCATGGGGTTGCAAAAGAATCAGATACAACTTAGAGAATAAACAACAATAAAAATGTGTAAGGTAGGGCTCTGATTTCATTTTTTCCCCTAAATGGTTAATTAGTTGTCCCAGCACCAAGTGGTGAATTATCTGTCTTGCCTCCACTAATCTGCTACTCTAGTTCTGTCCTAAATCAAGTTTCCTTAGTGTTTATCTTAGTTCCTGGGCTCTATTCTATTTCATCAGTCTGTCAGTCTGTGTCTCCATTAGTACCATGCAGGCTAATTTCTTTCCCTGGTGGAGGTGATTCTCCCAACTTCTTCAGAAGCTCCTTGGCAATTTGCAGCCTCGGCTCTTCCAGATAAATGTTAGAATCAGCTTATCAAGTCTCACAAAATATACTGTTGAGATTTTTTAAAATGGAATTGTATTGAATTTGTGGAGCAATTTAGGAAAATTTGACATCTTTCTGATGTTGATCCTTCTTAACCAAGAATATAATATTCTCTCTATTTACATCTTCTTTTTTAAAAAAGATTATTTATTTATTTAATTTTTTGGTTGTGCTGTGTCTTCTTTGCTGTGAACAGGCTTTCTATTCTCTGGTTGTGGCGCATGGGCTTCTCATTGTGGTGGCTTCTCTTACTGTGGAGCACAGACTCTAGGTACGTGGGTTTCACTAGTTGTGCCTCACAGGCTTAGTTGCTCTGTAACACGAAGAATCTTCCCAGATCAGGGATCCAACCTATGTCCACTGCACTGGACGTGGATTCTTATCCACTGTACCACCAGGGAAGTCCCATTTATGTCTTCTTTAATATCTATCTTCCATAATCTTTTCTAATTTACCTATCAAGAGTTTGTACTTCTTTTATTAGATTCATTGTTAATCTAATCTTTAATCTTTCTGCCTTTCCTCCCTCCCCTTCCTCCTCTTCCTTCTTTTCCCTCCTCCTCTCTCTGTCTTTTCTTTCTTTTTCTTTCTTCTTATACTGTAAATACCTTTGAAAAATTGTTTTCTGATTTTTGCTGGTATATAGAAATGCAGGTACTTTTCTATATGATCGTGTACTCAGACTTTTAAATTCTCTCATTCTACTATAATTAGCTATAAATTATCCTGGATTTTTTTATGTAGACATTCATATCATCAGCAAAGAGTGACAGTTTAGTTCTCTCTTTTTGGTCGTTAGATGTTTTACTTTTCTTGCCATTCTCTCTGGGTTAGGACCTGAATTTAGTAAAATTCTAAATTCAGGTGATCACAATAGGCATCTTAGATGGTACTAGATTTTAAAAGGGATGAAATAGAACTTTTTTTTTTTTTACAGTTAGACCATTTACTGCAGACTTTTTGGTTTTGTTGCTGTTGTTAGGTTTCTGTTGTTGTAACAAATTATCACAAATTTAGTTTAACAACCTGAATATATTATCTTGCAGTTCTGGATGGTCAGACATCCGACATGGGTCTCACTGAGCTAAAATCAAGGTGTGGGGAGATGTGTGTTTCCTTCTGGGAACTCCAAGGGAGAATCCATCCCTGTGCCTTTTACAGCTTCTGGAGGCCCCTGAACCCCTTGGCCCAGGGTCCCATCATCCATCCTCTAAGCCAGGAGGACAGCATCTCTCTGACTATTCTATAGTCACATTGTCCCCTCTGACTTACGGCAGCAAGCCAGGAAATCTTCTCCACATCTAAGGATTTGTGTGATTCTTTTGGGGCCACCTTGTTGTTCTGTCACTATTTGTGTCCTACTCTTTGCAACCCCATGGACTGCAGCACACCAGGCTTCCCCATCCTTCACTTTGCTCAAATTTATGTCCATTGAGTCAGTGATGCAATCTAACCATCTCATCATCTGCTTCCCTCTTCTCCTGCAGCCCTCAGTCTTTCTCAGCATTAGGATCTTTTCCAGTGAGTTGGCTCTTCTCATCAGATGGCCAAAGTATTGGAGCTTCAGCTTCAGCATCAGTCCTTCCAGTGAATATTCAGGACTGATCTCCTTTAGGACTGATTGGTTTGATCTCCTTGCTGTTCAAGGGACTCTCAAGAGTCTTCTCCAGCACCACAATTCAAAAGTATCCATTCTTAGGCACTCAACCTTCTTTTTGGCCCAACTCTCACATCCATATGTGACTACTGGAAAAACCATACCTTTGAATATATAGACCTTTACCCTAAGTTATCTGCCATTTCCAGGTCCTGAACCTTAATCATATCTTCAAGTCTCTTTTGCCATGAATGATAATCTATAGGTTCTGGAGATTAGAACAGTGACATCTTTGGGGGAGGCAAAGTGGGGGTGGGAATATTATTCTGCCTATTGCAATAATATTCTTTATTAGGTTAAGGAAATATACTTCCATTCTTGGTGTGTTAAATTTTTGTCATGAATGTCGAAATTTATTAAATGTTTTTCCCATATCAATTGAGATCATTAAAGCTTTTTTCCTTTAATCTGTTAATGTGGGGGATTTTATTAGTAGATTTTGTAATCTACTAATTTCATGCATGCCTGAGTTAAACCCAACTTGGTCATCATGTTTTACCTTTTTTATACATGACCAGATTCTGCTTGGTAAGTATTTAATTTAGGATTTTTTTTGTATCTCACATGTAAGGTTGAACTGGAATTTACCTTCTTGTAGAATTTTAGTATAAAGATTATGCTAAGGTCATAATTTGAGTTGGGGAATGTTCCTTGTTTTCTTTTCTGTAGAAACATTTGTGAATGATTAAAATTATATATTCTTTGAATGTCTGATTAAATTACCCTCTAAATCAATCTAGATCTGGTGTTTTCTTTGTGGTGAGATTTTTGTTTTAACTAAACTGAAATTCATATAACATAAAATTAACCATTTTAGAGCATGAAATTGCTGGGTGTTCTATGGGTTTGTAATTTCCTGTTTAACTTTTTGAGGAATCATCATTCAAATTCTTTGCAGGCAATAAGATTATTCAGGCTCTTTTATTTTCCTGAGATGGTTTTGGTTAAGTTATATTTTGTCTAGGACTTCATTTACATCATCAAAGTTCTCAAATTTATTGGCATAAGCTAGTTTATAATTTCTTAGAATGCTTTTAATCTTGGCAACCACCTGTAATTTTGTCCCTTTTTTCATTCTTATTATTGTTTATTTGTGCTTTTTTCTTTTATTGATATTTTCTTTGATCAATAATCATGCACAGGATTTGTCTATTTTATTAGTCTTTTCAACAAATCAACTTTTGGTTTTGAAAATACTTTATGTTTTATATTTTACCTACTTATGAGAAACTTCTTACTTTTTCCTTTCCAGACTTTTCAACCTCTAAAGTTGGATGCTTGGCTCATTAATTTTGAGATTTTTCTTCTTTTCTAATGTAAACACTCAAGGCTCTACTTTAAATGTATATATATATATATATATATATATATATATATATACACATACATACACACACACACACACACACATATATTTTATTTTAAATATATATAAAGTTCCAAATTGGGAAAAGAGTATGTCAAGGCTGTATAATGTCACTCTGCATACTTAACTTATATGCAGAGTACATCATGCAAAATGCAGGGCTGGAGGAAGCACAAGCTGGAATCAAGATTGCTGTGAGAAATATCAATAACCTCAGAAATGCAGATGACACAACCTTTATGGCAGAAAGCAAAGAGGAACTAAAGAGCTTCTTAATGAAAGTGAAAAAGGAGAGTGAAAAAGCTGGCTTAAAACTCAACATTCAAAAAGTGAAGATCACGGTATCTGGTTCCATCACTTCATAGCAAATAGATGGAGAAACAATGGAAACAGTGACAGACTGTATTTTCTTGGACTCCAAAATCACTGCAGATGGTGACTGCAGCCATGAAATTAAAAGATGCTTGCTCTGTGGAAGAAAAGATATGACCAACCTAGATAGCATACTAAAAAGCAGAGACCACAAAGATCTGTCTAGTCAAAGCTATGATTTTTCTAGTAGTCATATATGGATGTGAGAGTTGGATCATAAAGAAAGCTGAGTGCCAAAGAATTGATGCTTTTGAACTGTGGTGCTGGAGAAGACTCTTGAGAGTATCTTGGACAGCAAGGAGATCAAGCCAGTCAATCCTAAAGGAAATCTATATAGTCCATGGAATTCTCCAGGCCAGACTACGGGAGTGGGTAGCCTTTCCCTTCTCCAGGGGATCTTCCCAACCCAGGGATTGAACCCACATCTCCCACATTGCAGGCGGATTCTTTAGCAGCTGAGCCACAAGGGAAGCCCAAGAATACTGGAGTGGGTAGCCTATCCCTTCTCCAGCGGATCTTCCCGACCCAGGAATCAAACTGGCATCTCCTGCATTGTAGGTGGATTCTTTACCAACTGAGCTATTAGGGAAGCCCCCTAAAAGGAAATCAGTCCTGAATATTCGTTGGAAGGACTAATGCTGAAGCTGTAGCTCCAATACATTGGCCACCTGATGCAAAGAACTGACTCAATGGAAAAGACCCTGAAGTTGGGAATGATTGAAGGCAGGAGGAGAAGAGGATGACAGAGGATGAGCTGGTTGGATAGCATCACTGACTCAGTGGTCATGAGTTTGAGCAAGCTCCAGAAGCTGGTGACTGACAGGGAAGCCTGGCATGCTGCAGTCCATGGGGTTGCAAAAGAGTTGGACACAAATGAGCGACTGAACTGAATTGATATATACAGTACATATATATATGTGTATATATACATATATATATACACATCAATTCATGTTAACATTTGATTCTGATTATTTCTAAGTGCATGCATTTTTTTCAGTTTATGTAGCTGTATTTTTGCTATTGATTTCTCACTTAATTATAAGGTGGTAAGAGAACCTGGTTTGCACAGTAACAACCATTTGTATTTCATTGAACCTTAGCAGTTCATCAGTTTTGTAAATATTTCCTATGTAATGGAAAAGAATGTGTCTTCTCACACCCATCAGAATACTAAGATGAAGAAAGTAGGATGAAGCTGAGCAGTGATGATGGGGGAGCACCTGGAATGCTCCTGGTCGGAACATAAATTGCCACAATCAGTTGAGCAAACTTATTGGCAACATCTGCAAACAATATAGGCTCAACCTACTCAATAAAAATATGTACACGTGATCATCAAAAGACATCTCAAAAAATTTTCATCTCAGCACCATTTGTATTAGCGGTGAGGAGGAAACTAAATTCCATCAGTGAAAGAAGGGATAGACATCCTGTGATTTATTCGTATAATGGAATAAAAACGAAAAGACTTTTCTGTGTGCACAAGTCTCACAAGCATGATAATGAGCAAAAGAGATACAGAAGAGTTCCACTGTACAATTTCATTTATACAAAATAAAAAGGGACACAATAAATCTGTAGTGTTAGGATCAGGATGGTGGTTACCTACAGGATGGATTGTAACTGGGGAGGGGACAGCAAGAAGCGGGGTATTGCAGTGCCGAGAAGTTGTATTTCCTGGTTTAAAGCAAGTCCTGGCTCTATAGTGTGTCCATTTTGTGAGAAATCATCAATTGTAATATTTTTACCTGTTTCTTTATTTTTGGCTTCGCTGGGTGTTCATTGCTGCATGCAGGCTATCCCTAGTTGTGATGAGTGGGGGCTTCTTTACAGTTGTGCTGCACAGGATTTTCTTGGCAGTGGTTTCTCTTGTTATGGAGCACAGGCTCTGGGGTATGAGGGTTTAGTTGCCTCATGGCACATGCCATCTTCCCAGACCAAGGATCAAATCCATGTCCCCTGCACTGGCAGGCAGATTCTTAATCACTGGATCACTGGGGAAGTCCCGAGTCACAGAGATATTTTTTATTAATTTTTTGGCTATGCTGGGCCTTTATTGCTTTTGCGTGGGCTTTCTCTAGTTGCAGACAGCGGGGCTACCCTTCGATGTGGTGCGTGGGCTTCTCATTGCACTGGGTTCTCTTGAAGAGCACAGGCTCTGTGGTGCACAGGCTTCAGTAGTTGTGGCTCACTGGTGTAGTTGGTCAAGGCATGTAGAATCTTCCCGGACCAGGGATTGAACCTGTGTCCCCTTCAGTGGCAGGCAGATTCATATCCACTGAGCCACCACGGAAGTCTTTGAGTCATATATTTTTGATCTGTGTACTTTTCTCTGTGTTCTCATTCAGTTAAAAGTTTAAAAATGTTTATTCTTGGGAAAAAATCTGAAAAAGAATATATATGTATGTATATATATATATATATATATATATATATATATATATATAGAGAGAGAGAGAGAGAGAGAGAGAGAGAGAGAGATAATAACTTTGCTATATAGCTGAAACATTGTAAAGCAATTATGCTAAGTGCTATGTTGCTTCAGTTCAGTTCAGTTCAGTAGCTCAGTCGTGTCTGACTCTTTTTGACCCCATGAACCACAGCACACCAGGCCTCCCTGTCCATCATCAACTCTCGGAGTTTACCCAAACTCATGTCCATTGAGTCGGTGATGCCATCCAACCATCTCATCCTCTCATCCCGTTTCCTGCCTTCAATCTTTCCCAGCATCAGGGTCTTTTCAAATGAGTCAGCTCTTCGCATCAGGTGTCCAAAGTATTGGAGTTTCAGCTTCAACATCAGTCCTTCCAAAGAACACCTAGGACTGATCTCCTTTAGAATGGACTGGCTGGATCTCCTTGCAGTCCAAGGGACCCTCAAGAGTCTTCTCCAACACCACAGTTCAAAAGCATTAATTCCTCAGCGCTCAACTTTCCTTATAGTCCAACTCTCACATCCACACGTGACTACTGGAAAAATCATAGCCTTGACTAGATGGACCTTTGTTGGCAAAGTAATGTCTCTGCTTTTTAATATGCTATCTAGGTTGGTCATCACTTTCCTTCCAAGGAGTAAGCATCTTTTAATTTCACGGCTGCACTCACCATCTGCAGTGATTTTGGAGCCCAAAAAAATAAAGTCCGCCACTGTTTCTACTGTTTCCCCATCTATTTGCCATGAAGTGATGGGACCGGATGCCATGATCTTAGTTTTCTGAATGTTGAGCTTTAAGCCAACTTTTTCACTCTTCTCTTTCACTTTCATCAAGAGGCTATTTAGTTCTTCTTCACTTTCTGCCATAAGGGTGGTGTCATCTGCATATCTGAGGTTATTGATATTTCTCCCGGCAATCTTGATTCCAGCTTGTGTTTCATCCA